GACTCTCCACGCTACAACTCGCGATGCACTGACGATACTCACTCGATAGCCTCAACGATGCACTAACTCGCGATATACTGACGAAGCACTTCGACACTAGACTGCTATTCCGCGCGCAAGCAGGAATTATATAGCTTTAGGCCTGCCTTCGAGAACATTCTGGGCCAAACCGGTAAGAATTCGTTCTGGAATGTTCTTCATTCGTCTATGGCATATCCCCAATTTTGTCGCCAAAATGGCGATATCGCGCTAAATCTGCAGTCCTGCCTTCCCTTGCCATTTTCTGGCAATCCTAAACTTGCTTTGCGGGGAAGATAACTTACAGCAACTGGACATTTCATAACACTATATAAGGAACCTCCCTCCAATCTATACATATTGGTAAGGGAGGTAATTTTTTTTGGTCCAAAAATTCGGTAGTGAGTTTTCAGTGAACAAGCACGTATTAGGGTCTTCAAAACAAGTTTTTATTATTTTTACAAGTTGTCTGTGTGCGTCACGATCTTTTCGTCCGTGATAACGCATATATGAAACTTCCAAAAATTTCTGTTTTTCATATTAGTTTTCTACAGTCGCAAAGGGTTGATTATATTTTGGGTCACTTGCGGTCGACATAAGATTTTTTTTTGTTGTTAACTTTATGTGAGAAGTACAAATGTTAACATTCCTTTGGTATTAAATAGCATACAATATTGAATTTAACTCCGTAGGTGTTATTATAGCACCACTTTGAAAGCTTCTATTATCCAACCTCGCTAAACTTCTTTGAGTTTTATAATAATGATGAAATTCTGTGAAAAATCTGGAAATAACATACGGATGAACCCAGCAATATTTAAGATCTTATTTTCTTTTTTAACACTCGATAATTTAGTTCCGTATTCACCAGGCCCACCAGCGGCCGAGCGGTAAAGACGCTGAACTCTGGTAGTTCGGTCCGAGGTTCGAATTCCGCGAACGGGCTGGCTGCATGGGCGTTTTCATAGTTTTCTCCATGTGTAACGTGTATACGAGCCAGTTTCCCATAGAAAGTCCTCCACGAAGGCATCCCTCCCCTTAGGCAGATAGCCCTCGTGTGCTTTGCCATAATTGAATAATCCAATCCGTATTCACCGGTCCTATCTTGCCTCCGTTTCTTTGAAAAATAAGAATTTCTTACTTTTCGTTTATTCATTTTCCTCTATCTTTGTGCCTTGATGAAAAAGGTGTATTCTGTGTTTTATTTCCAATTATGGTTATTTGAGTGCAAAAACTGCACTTTCAAGCAAACTCTGTTACCAACTCGTATGTTCAGTAAATGAGGAAATCAATAATTATGGCTGTTTGTTAAGGGTGTTTTTTCCACCCTTTTGCAGAAAAGTGTAATCTAATCTCGAAATAAATTATTTAATGCTTGAAAAATAGTCTAAAATTTAAATTCGAGGATAAATGTCACTTTGCGATAGTTTTTGTTTATTAGCTCAAAGGAGCAATTTGCCCAGAAGGGCTATTAATTTTGTTTTAGCATTATGCGTTGATTCATTATAAACAGCGAATCACTTTTTAAATTGTTGCCACCAAATAATAGAGCCCTGTATTATATTCAAACAAATCAAATAATGAAGAATCTGCATAAATGTGTGTATGTTTCTTGCATCGTAATGAAACAACGGTACCTAAAGCCATCAAATTTTATCCCGAAATCCACCCGAATATAGGCATCTGGAAGCCCAAATTTGGAATTGGAATTTGTTGTATTATCTATTTCATATTTTGTAAAACTTTAGCGAAATTTTTGATTTAACAAACTCGGCGATTTCAAAGCGAGCAATGGCGACACTGTACGGGGGAGGGGAATTATTTCCAGCGCCGCCAGACTCTGTATCGGAAATTCTAAAGATACGCTCATTTAAAAATTATTCCGCGCGATACTGCTGTTGAAATGAATTTTATGGTTTAAGTGCGAAGAATATGATATTTAATAAATAAATGTAACGCGCAAAACGTTAAAAAGACGTCCCTTTTGTTGTGATATAAAATCTGAAAGCTTTCAGATTTTTTAAAAAATTATTTGTTGTTTTTATTTAAAAACAATTATCCAAACCTATTCTAGATCTATTTAATCCACATAATTGAGATTATAAATATTTTGCTGCTTTCTATGTGATCTTCGATACTGGCAGTATATACAGGAAACAAATGATATGGTACCCAAGTGGTTGAGGAAACATTCCAGACTTAGTTCGCACTGATAATTGATCAGGCTGGTTTTACAAGAACTGCTACTTATACAATGTTATTGAGTTAGTGAAATTTTTGTAAAGTTATTATATTCTAAATTCATTTCGCAATTTTTAAAGATTTGACGTAGCGGTGGTTTCAGTTTTTGATAAAATTTTAAATGCTTTATGTAGCGTGTTGTTAGACTTAAACGAGAGTCGCGCTTGCCTTATCTTTATGATATTTCAGTTAGACATTTGGTACTATCGTAAAGACGACCTTCTGTGTCTGCGGTGAGCTTCCTGATTAGATTTTTTTGATTGCTAGATTTTTAGAGTATTTGTTTTAGCTTAAGTACTTAATTCATGAGCCATTTTTTTTTTTTTTTTTCCCCTCGTGATGTGGCTAAATAATAAAATTTTTATGAGTAAAATTGGATGTAAGTCTCCTCTAAGACATACAGATTATGCGTATGAAATTATTTTAAGTTGTTTACCAGTTCTGTGATATGTGAATTGCCATTATTATTATTTATTTATTTTTTTTTTTTTAAAGCCCGCAGGAGCATTAGCTGAGGAGGCGTATTAGTTTTGAAACGGCATTTTGTGTCGGTCCACTATATATGGTGCATTACTTTTTTAATTGTTGCAACCAAATATGATCGCTCTGTAATATATTTAAATAAATTAAATAATGAAGAATCTGCATTAACGAATTTTTGGTTAAAAAACTCAACGACTTCAAAGCGAGCACTGTAACGGGGGGGGGACATTTTTATCTCCAGGCATTTTGCTTTAGAAACTTTAAAATTTTCGTTTCACTTTTCAAATTGTTGCCACCAAATATTATCGCCCTGTGTTATATTTAAAGAAATTAAATAATGAAGAATCTGCTTAAATGTACGTATGTTTCTCGCATTGTGATAGAACAACGGTACTTAGAGCCATCCAATTTTGAATGACGTAATCCTTCACCGAATATGGGCATCTGGAAGCCCTAATTTGGAATTTGTTTTATTACCTATTTCATATTTTGTAAAACTTTAACGAATTTTCGATTAGCAAACTCAACAATTTCAACGCGAGCAATGGCAACACTGTACGGAAAAGAACATTTTTATCTTCAGCGCGCGAAACTGTGTATCGAAAATTCTAAAAATATGCTTATTTAAAAATTATTTTGCGATATTGCTGTTGAATTGAATTTTATGGTTTAAGTGCGAAGAACATGATATTATAAATAAGGGTAACACACAAAACGTTAAAAAACGCCCCTTTGGGCGTAATGTAAAATCAGAAAGCTTCCAGATTTTTTTTTTTTTTTTTTTTTTTAATTTCGTGATTCTCGATTGTTTTTAACTGTTGTCACATTAGCATTTCTGTTTTATTTTCAGCTTCACCAGTGGCTGATGTCTAAAGGTCGTAGAATACGCTGAATATTAGTATTTAAACCCAGGCGAACAGCTGGATGGTTGGTTTTTGTAATTTTTTTCCCGTGTGTAACATAAATATGAACCGGTTTTCTTTAGAAAGTTTTTCACAAAGGCATCTCGTCTTTTACGCAGATAGCCTTCGTGTACTTTGTTGCAATCAAACAACCTAAACTGTTTTATTTTTCCAGTAAATAAAAAGTAATTCTTCCTTTTAGCACCAAAGCTTGATTTCAAAGCACACTTTTGAGACCACCTAGCACTCGGGTTACTTTTTTAAATGTTTTTGCCAATAGATAGGAACAAACTGAAAAGATCGTTTCTGTCATTCGCTGTGAATTAAGAATTATAAAACATGTATATGATATATCAAATCGCTGTAAATGAGAAATTATGAGTAAAGTACATAAAATACGAAATATTTTTTATGATAAAAATAAGCTTTTATGATAAGATTTTAAGATAAGCTTTTATGATAAAAATGTATTACTTATATTTCGTGCTGAAGATAGTGTAATAGTTTCGTAAGCATACATTTCTTGTCTTATTTTCAGTTTTTCATTCGATTAAAAAATTTAATTGCTTATTATTTATTTGTTCAGACCAATTTCAGTCGTTTTACGCAGAACGGTAATAATAAAATAAAATAAAGTCACAAGTAAGTAATAGTAAAATAAAATAAAGTCACAAGTAAAATAAAGTACGTGTAGTAAAATAAAATTTCCTTTTTATTTTGAACCCTTCCGTACTCAAGCAATGTTAAAGGATATTTAAAGGTAAGAAGTGTATGCAGTATATTAAGGTAATGAAATCATAAAATTTCATTTATAATTAAACTTTCCAGTTTAAGAATTTATATGCCGTTTATATTGCTGCATTTAAATGCGAAGGGGGGGATCATTTGAAATGTATAGTAGTATTTGTCACGTAAATTGAACACTGTGATCTTAAAAAATGTTAAGACACAAAAAATTAAAAAAAATATGTATATCAAAATTGAATTAAACAAATAATTAAAGGAAAAACTATACTAAATAATAAAGAATTAATAAGAATTGTGTGTAATATTAGTATAATAAAAAATATTATTAAAAAAATTGAATTAATAATAATAATTAGAATAATAATAAAAAATCAGTAAAGAACGAATTTCTTTCAGAAATTGTATATTCAAATATTAAAATGCAAGATCTCGATTAAACTATATTTAAAAAATGGTTTTGAAGTAATGAATTTTGTTAATTAAAGTGGGAAATATGACATTGTATTTTCGTTTGTTTCCTTAAGAGAAGACAGACTGATGAATGGAGTGATCAAAGGTTGATTTACATGTTGAGACGGCTGCCATTTACATGTTTTCATTTCGTTACAGATGGAGAAGTCTTCCCTGGGGCCAAGGAAGATTCTTCGTGCACCGGCCCTCCGGAGAGGGAGAGAGATAGTTCCTATATCTGACAGGGTAAGTTGTTCTAAGATAAGTTGTTACTACAGAGGTTACATAGTGACGAGGGGAAAAAGAAGGCCGTGCAGCTGGTAAGAACTGCGTGTTGCTTTTATGAATACAGAGAAGGGAAGGGCGATATTGTTCATTGATCATGTATGAAGAAGGAACTGTATTACTTTTTACGCAGATTTCGTCTCGGAAGCATCTGGGAAAAGTACCAAATGCAGTTGTGTGAACAATGGTGTAATTTAAATTAAAATGTGTATCAGATTTAATTTCGTGCGTATCATATACGTTTAATCAAAGCCATGGATGAATCGTTTTTAAGATCTTTCTCGAGATTTCTTCAGATTATTATTAGCCCAAAGGCCAGAAGTGCTGTTAGTCTCGAAACAGCATTTTGCGTCGAATTACTGTAAACGGCTGTATCACTTTTCAAATTGTTGCCGCCTAATATTATTGCCCTGTACTATATTTAAAGAAATTAAATAATGAAGCATCTGCATGAATGAATGTGTGTATGTTTCTCCCATTTTAAAAAACAACGACAGCTAGAGCCATCAAATTTTGAAAACATAGTCCTCCAGCGAATTTTGGATTAAAAATCTCAACAATTTCAAAGCGAGCAGTGGCAACACACAGCACGGAATGAAATATTTTAATCTCCAGTGCGCGAAACTGTCTGTCGAAAATTCTAAAGATATGCTGTTTTTAAATATTTTTAGCCCAAAGGGGCGTTGGCCCAACTTCTCTCTAAAAGTGTTTGTATATGTAAATGAAAGAAACGCCACTTAGGGCATAATATAAAACCTGAATTCACCTAAAACCTGAATTTTCAGAATTTTTTTTAAAGCATATTCTTGTGTTACAACTAGGGAAAGGGCACTATATCAGATCATTTTTAAACTAAATGCTGCTCTAAAAATCATTGCAAAACTATTTACTAATACGTTATTTCAGTTGCAATCTTTATATTTTATAATGAAATACGTAAACGAAAAAAGTTTAAATATTTTATTCTGCAGTATATTTATCTTTCTTCAATGCTATGTAGATGAAGCCATGTGTTTGTCATTTGCTACATTTAATGTATTTGATTTATTCTGTTGTTCAGAACTACGCTTATCTGAATCATTTTTTCATGAAAGGATAGATTAGAAAATAATATTTTTGCGAAATGCTTCCCCACAAAGCAGTGATAGGGTTGCCAGAAACAAGCAGGGAAAAACAGTGTTGCCGAATTTGGCGCGAAATCGCCCATTTGACGACAATGGCCGTAGCCGAAGCGGGAACATTCTAGAACGCATTATTAGCCGGTTTTCTCGGGAATATTCTGGAAGGTAAGGTTAAAGCTATGTATACCGTGCATGTCCTGGGAGAAAGTAATGTAGGAGTATCTTGAGTTTAGAGATCAGATTGAGAATGATAGACCGAGTCGTAAACTGTACTTTAGTGCTTTGCCGTGAAGCTGTCTTCACCTTTGTGGCCTGAAGACTGTGTTACTGATTGTTTCAGCATGTTTGTTGTAGTCTTTCGATGAGTGTAAACGTGTCTTTGGAACTGTCCTGTGTATTACTGGCGAATAAATTGTGTTTTGATTGAAGAATCACTGAAGTGCATTCAATAACTCTAAATCCACGATCCTGTAGAACGCAACAATATAAACTAAAATATTGCTGCTCATCATTTACTGATGTATAATGGTGTGCAAAACTGAAGCAACAATGTAAATTTTAATCAAATAACCATGAAATTGCAGAAAAGAGGTTCTTGCGATCAGTACAATGAACACGCAATTCAGTAGAAAGCTCAAGCCTGTGCAAATGTCAGGAACAAAACGTCACAGGCGACGTGAGCGTACGCAAAACGTCGGCGCGCTCAACTCAAGACTACAATAAAAGGAAGGACGAAGGCGCAATTAAAGACATTCGGTGCAAGTAAAGTATGGCTAGAAGAAATCAGCTGGATGACTTCACACGTGGAAGAATGATCGGAAAGCTGGATGGAGGGCTTAGTGTGGCCTGTGTAGCTGAAGAGCTTGGAATCAACAAAATTGTCGTTTCGCGCCCTTGGGAAGCCTTCCAAACTATAGATACAGCTGTTAGAAAGGTTGGTGGTGGCTGCTCCATGAAAAAAAACTGCAATGGATGACCGATATATCGTCTTGCAGGCGAAAAGAGCCCGAAACCAGTCAGCAAGCGCCAAAGCTCAGTAACTGTGTACAGCAATTGGGCGACAAGTGCCGCGGTTTACTGTGTCCGCGCACCTTCACAAAAGTAGCCTATTCGCTCGCCGTCCTGAACGCTGCATTCCTTTGAAAGTTGGCCATCGGCGCAACTGTTTAGAGTGGTGCAAGGAGCATAAAAACTGGACAACTCATCAATGGAGTCGTGTCCTCCTTACGGATGTGAGTCGTTTTAGTGCCACAAGCGATTCTCAACGCCTGCTGATTTGGCTAGAGGTCGGGGTACGATTTTATCCCAGTAACAACATGGAAAGAGACTGTTAACGGTGGTGCTGGAGCTCCCGTCTGGAGTTCCCGTCTGAAGAGGCATTATGCTGCACGGGAGGACAGAGCTTCCCGTTTTCGACAAAGGTACGGTAACCGGAGATCTCTGTTGTCAGGAGATGATCCTTCCCCATGTGCATCTGTTTCGAGGCGCATTGGAGCAGACTTTGCTTTTATGGATGACAATACACGGCCACACCGGACTCCTGCTGTTCAAAAACTACTGGAAAGTGAAGATATCACTCTAATGGATTGCCAGCGTACTCCTCTGATTTAAATCCCATAGAACGTGTGTGGGATGCTTTGGAGAGACGCCTTGCGGCACGATTACATTCTCCGGGGACACCCAACAAATAAAATATATCCTGATTAAGGATTAGACACTCTTACCACAAGATCTTTTGGACAATCTGGTGCTGAGTATGGAGAGACATTGCGAAGCAACCATGGCAGTTAGGGGAGGGCATATCCCTATACTAACGAACATCTGCTTGTTGTTCTTCCTCTTAGTATAGACAATCAATGTGTAACGATACTCTTGATTGTCTATACAAGATATATGTTCAATAAAGCTCTTTTTTGTTTGGATTCCATACTGTATGCGTAGTCTTCATTTTTGCGTAACTTTGCTTTCGTCATCATTTAAACACAAAATACTGTCACTCATTTCTGAATTTCATGTCTCTCAGCTAATTTCTCGTGGAGTTATGGCAAAAAGAACACCTGTAGCTTAAGTTTCGCACACCAGTGTATTATGGAGCTATTTGCAAATATTTTTATTAAAAATTCAGCTAGATATCTAAAATATATTTGATAATAAATAAATTATTAATGCTTCGCATTTCCTACGCGCCCATTTAATAAATTATCAAACATTGTATAAATTGAATAAGTTGTCACATTGAATTTAAGCTGTCAAAGTAAACTAGTATCTGTACATTTTCGCTGGTGCAAATTAATATGCCTAACGTAAATTGAGTCGAAATATATCTGAATTTCAAATATTAAATCGCATGATTATTTTCGTTTCGTAATAAAACCAGTAATCTAAAAATATTTTATGTACTCCATACAAATGTTTTGGAGCCGACTTAGTTCTGCAATATTCCAAACCTTATCATGTCCGAACTTTTGAAGAAAAACAATTCATCACAGACTGCTTTGAAGTGCTTTTATCTGAATTGATGACTTCTGCGAGTTTATTTATTGCAAACCGTGGAATGCTGGGCTTTCACCTTCATTAAACCTGTTCTGCTCCTGTATTAAAATTAATTTAATTGATTGAAAAAGTTTCATTCATCTTTATTTTTTGCTTTTCGGTAATTATTTTGGAAAGCAATTAGACCAAACATGCGAAAAACTTCCTCAACTGCCGTGTGTAGATCCGGAAATTTCTTATAATTTTGAAATGTGAAAATTATCTTCCTTTATTTAAACAATTTCTGTGTTTTTCTTTGTTTGCAGAATGAGTTTTTCTCTTATAATGATGTTACAAGCCTTTGGGATTTTTTTTTCAATTAGGTTGTTCATATTTAATTTTAAACGGATCTCCGAATTATTTTGCTTGGCAAGCAGTTTCAAAAACAGATAACTAATTCTCCCTTTTAACTGTTAACATATTTCTTTCTATCTTGGTCAGATTACATAATGAGAAACTTTTTTTCCTCCATACCGCAATTAAGCCACGTAGCGTCCGGCAAAGGTCGTTAACTATCATCGAATGACTTTCGTCAGAAAAGACGCGATTCATTTTGCTTTAATTGTGGTTAAATACAAGGAAAATTTGTCTCATGTCCTTGTACGATGTAGGTAGTGGAAGAAAACTTGTCTTATATCTGGTACGCGAGTTTTCTTCTTCTGCCAAATTCATATGCGTTTTATATTAAAATTAATTGTGTGAGGAAATATTTAAAGGAAGAAAAGACGAAGAAAATTTCGTATTATAGTTCAATTTGACTATAACTGAAGTACAGACTATAATTAATTTAATTTTGTGTTCAGCACACAAGAAATAATTTGACTTTTGGAAAAACAGGCTTATTAACACTATTTTTCGACAGCAAGGAATTTATATAATATGTATATTCTAATTCACATAATAGCAAATTTTTTAAAATCTATATGGGCACCACATTCTTTAACATTGTGGCTACGTAGCAAAATTATATATTGTTCGTGCGTACGGGTTCGTAATAGATTGAATGCAGACATGTCCGATGATAGGTTAATAAAATTTATTTTTATCAAATGAAACACTTCAAAGCTCTGGAATTTTTTACAGAAATATTCGTACAGGTGTTCACAGTATCACAGAATACAATCAGCAGTAACACTTCAAAGTGCTGAGAACGCTAAACACAGCGCAATGTAAAGCGAGCCTAAAGTGAGTTAACCCGGAGGTACTTCAGTTTACGCTGAACTAACAAACTCGCAACAATGACTGAGAGCAGATGCTGTGTTCGGCCTTATATAGTTTTCATCAGGCCGCCGAGATATTTATAGTACT